TGAAGCGATTAGAGATATGAAATAATTCTCGTGGGAATCATTGTTAAATCCATAATAATATCTGAGAAACTGTTCTCCTCGTCCTAAGCGCCGTGGGTAATGGCTGAATCCTAGAATAACAGACCTCGTTTATCCCCTGACAAAACAAGATGCAGAATCAAGTCAAAACACTTTCTTATAACTGCTTATTGGAATGAGACACATTCAGATGAAAGAACGTAAAAACCTGAAACACCTTCAAATTTGATCAGTTCAGACGTGAGGGTCTTCAATCTTATAAATGATGTGAAATCCGCTATGGGTGGAGAATATACAGGTGGATTCTTCATTATCTATAAGATTTAGGCTCATCATTCCTAGGCTCAATTCGACAAATAATCCCTAAATTTCTTCATCTGTCAAACTATAAGGAACAGTACTTCTGGAAGATGTCCACGGCCAATCCAAGGCTACCGAAAAAGGAAAGTGACCGTTGATGTTGGGAAGCGAACCCAGGACGTCATGATCAACGAATGAGACAATCTCTATAGATTCTATGGCATTGGTAGAATTTTATTGCGCAATAACACAGCGTAGTCGAGATCGTTGGTAGGTTGTCGACGTTTCGGTCACCACGGGTAACCTGTTTTCAAGACTGGGTTTACAACCGAATGAAACTGGTAACGTCGACAACCTACCAACGATCTCGACTACGCTGTGTTATTGAGCAATAAAATTCTACCATAACATTTCACATGGCGCATCGATTTTTCGATACATTCCGAACCGATTTCATTTCTAACACATTAATTCTACGGCATTGTTTTATTTCGGACAAGTGCTTCTCAGTGCCGAACGAGATATTAGATTTAGGCAGGTCAGCATGAATAGGCAAATCTGAAATCAAAACGGACAAAACAGAGTGATGTCAAACACTCGTGGTTGCAGAATTTGCAAAATATGCGGGCCCAGAGAACTATTTGAATCCCAATTCAGTAGAAGATAATCCTCGTATTTTCGTCGTCAGGATAATGTGTGCAAATCAGTCTATTCGGGGCATTCTTTAATTATATCATAATAAGAACAGTTTGCATGCATGGGGAAACCATATGAAACAATAAAAGCCTATGCATCCATAAAGTGGTGATTCCGGTATTCGATTCATCATTCCAGTAACTGTTTTCTGGTTAAAATCAACTAAGAATATTCTATTTACTGGGATACATGATACATCAGCCGGGAACTTGCTTGTCATATCACCGGCAGTTTACATTTCCTGCGTCAGGAGGGAAGAATCCACGTGGAATTCATATTGCAGAGGCGAATACTGAAGCAGCAGAACGATGCAAACATCAAGCCGATTAGACCAACCGGTCGTGAGACGCGGACCAAAGAACAGACGATGAATTTGTCAGAAGTATCCCCCAACAAACAAAAAGAGGCATTCGGACTAGCAGACAGAACGCAGCGGGATATTTTGCAACCAGGATGATAGCTCAGGTGAGTAGCTACCGAACAAGCCTTCAACTGAAGCAATCGGATCAGCTGAACCTAAATAATGAGTAAGAGAATCAAACTAACGGCCACAGTGAACTGGCCAGAATGTAGCCAGAATACTCGGGCAGTCGGAGGATCAAAGCTGCTGTAGCTCGGTTTGGAGAACGGACCATATGAATGGTTACATATGTTCCACGAACGTGTCCTAATACGAGTGTCCTCACTCGTCTCGCCATCTTCGTTACTATATGGAGTAAAAGGGGCACGAGCAGGAAGGATAGGTATATGAACCTTGTCGTCCTTACTGTGACACAACATGATCCCATCACCAAATCGCCTAAAAACTATAGTGTAAGACAACGAGCTGTGCACAATGACATCCTTGTCATTTCGTGCAAGGTCAGACTGGTAGAGAATCATGATGGGCATCCTAGATTCGTCCAAATAGTCTTTACCTTTTTTGTACTGTATTCTATTCGTAGATAATAAATTCTGTCTCTCTTGTTAGCCTACAGGCTTATCATTCATCTATATCAAAAATGAGCAAAACTTTGCTTGAGTTAGGTGCATTTCACTGTTTTCACTTGCATGCTGATACTTGCGTACGAATATGAGTACCAAACAGGTAACCAGCTGTTTGACTTCGAACCAGCTTAGCAATGAGTTCCATGTGATAAAGCTTTCACTTCCGTGAAAAATAGAAGAAACGTTTATGTACGCTTAATGGAATAAGCAAAGCTATATGCCGAATTTTCCTTACCATGAAAGACTTGCAGAATATGCATAGCATTAGAGTACAGTTAAAAGTGTTCTCTAAGAAAATTTACACAATCGTCTAAAATTGCGGTGGTAAGTCAAATGAGGTCTTTTAGAAATGTTTTGGCAAATTATGGCTTATCCGTAAAGTTAAGTATCACATTCTTGCGGTGCAAACGGACAATACTTACTCACACAAATGTCAAACGAGACCATATTTAGGCATTGTTTTTGTCCCCACTGTGATTGCATTTACTCATGGGCCTATTCAAACGCATTTTAATAGCACGTTACCATTTCCTGATCGTGGCAACAGTATCTGCGAGCAACAAACGTTCGTACTGGTACGAAAGAGGGCAACCTGAATAATTTGTACAGATCGAGACAGGACTCGAGACTTGAAGACGGAGAATAAACTGAGCTGGAGAGATTCGAATGGGAAACATGCTAAAACCGTTCCCATTCTGATATTGCTGTGAGCTCATTTACACCGACTTTACGCATGATTCGTAATCTGTGATCAGTCAAGCATCGGAGCCGAGAGTCATCAATACGGGTGGTATTTCGGTTGTTGCTGAAGTTAAGTGTTGTATGCCTAATGTCGGTGAATCATAATCCTACTCGACCGGTCCAATTCCCAGCTCCAGCTCGACAGGTGCACATCGCCACAGAGGATTCCCAAAACACTAACGAAAACAGTGATAAAATATTTCCCGTAATAGCAGCTCCTCGTTCCCCTGAAGTTTTGAGATTTTTTAACAAATAGGATGGAATTTCGACTTGATTATATTTTTACTATGCTGTGAGCAGCTAATTTGCATGAAACGTTAGTAAATTTTGAAGTTCGCCCCAGAATACGTGGTAAATCAGGAAAAAAAAATATTCAATTCGAATGAGTTCAACCACTGACTGACAAATGGTAACCAGTTTCTATTCCTTTATTCCTCAGGTATGTCTTGATGAAGAATCCCAAATCTGATACCGAAATTATTGGGTTTAGGAAATGGTGTAGGTCGCAGTTTAGGAGGAAGGTTTTCATTAGTTCCTATGTACTAATGGTGGCATCTCGGCTGATGATGAAACGTTTGTCCCCTGAATTCCAAGCTCACTAATCAGAGGTTGTTGAAGACGCGCAGGCATACGATTTCAGAATTCTCCGGGAACCTCACACTTCTATCCTGTTGAACAACAGTAATTCAGTGTCGGGTAACAATATGCGAAAATTCAACTCAAATCGGTCAACAAACAAAACTAGACTTGTGATCTCCGAATTCCGCTACAGATTCGCGGAAGTAAAATAAACCGAGTAGTGAAGAATATGTTACCAAAACGAAAGTGTACCACATTTCTCCGACACTGATACCAATTTAAACCATGAGCACCGACAAGTCAAATCAGAACGTTTCCCACATAAGCCTTACTTCCTGAATAGGCCCCAATGAGAAGCGACATATACTGAGTGATCCGATAAGGCAGAAGTATGCTGACGACTATGGTCAGGTCACAACGGATAAGACAATTTAAAAGTGGCGTATTTTCAAATTGATTCGTCCAAAAAATACTAAAATAGTAACGAGAAATAGGGAAGCTCGAGTCTCATTCGCAAAACGATTCGTATGAGAAAAACTGCCGTGGGGCTCGATTGAATTGTTTTGATCGTTTGATCGATAAATGAGGTCAGGAGTGAATAATCGATTAGAATGTATCGTTTGCACGTCTCATATATTGCAAGATGGACCCACGTAGGTTGCTCCGCAACTATACTGAAATTGATAAATCAGATTCGATTTGGTGTACAGAGGTGGACGTTGTTTAACCGACGGTGTGGGGATCTCAATCGTTCGATGAACAATTCTGAGGTCAGCTGCATAATATGTTCGGGCAAGTGCTGATCCAAGTGGTCGTTTGAGCAAGCAATTGATGTCATCACGTTTGAAAGGAAGACAAAGGGTGACTAGTAGTTTTTCTGCTCAACAATTCGTTTGTGTGATCACTTTAGGCTTGCTGTGCCTTTCGATAAATGCATCGGGATAAGCGTTTCTAGTCAAAGATTTATTCAGCTGTCGTAGTTCGTTGTCAATCATGTCTTCTGTGCAGATATGTCGTGCTGTTTGAAATAGTGTTCGGACCAGACCACGTTCATATTCCACAGACACAAAGCTGTCAAATTGCAAGCATTGGCCTGTCCAAGTTTCTTTTCGGTAAAAAGATCTAGCGATTGTTCCATCATTCTTCCTAGTCATTTTAATGTCGAGGAAGTGCAGTGTATGTTCGCGTTCTGCTTCCATCGTAAATCGTATATTCGGATGCAGGCGATCGAGTTCATCCATAATCCATGTTGTCTCTTCTAGACTTATTGTGATGACTAGAACATGATCAGCGTATCGTTTGTAAAGTTGTGAACGTTGGAGGATTTTGCTCGCCTTTTCCTCAAGATGAGCCATAAATATATGTGCCAGAATGGGACTCAATGGAGTTCCCATTGGGACACCGTCAATTTGTATGTAAGCCCGACCAAGGAAGGAGAACGATACGTTTGTTGTGCACAGTAGTAATTGTCTAACCAGAACTGATACTGGTATACCGATTTTCAGTTGGTTTTGCTCCACATGGTCACAGATGATACGTATGATCTCCCGACCGGGAACCATACAGTTGTGCAATTTGAGTTCCTTTTGGCTTCAGATGGTTAGCTGTGCTTTCATCAATGAAGTGTCCTTCTAGTAAAAACTGTACTTCTGTCGATATCTGTTGTTCTAGTTCTTTAGGGTCTTCACAGTCATCTTCGAGTACAAACTTGCTGGGATCATGACGATCACCAGCTGGGAGTTGGTACGGACCCGCTGGTGCACGCCGTCGCGCTGCGCTCACTCCTGGAACGTGCGTTGCCAACGCTAGATGAGGCGTCACGGGCAGACCTGGTGGCAGACCGATGTGTGGATAGTCTGCCGGAGCCCTTGCGTGGGATGGTACGCGTCGCCCGTGCCGGCCGTTCACTGAATTTGGTCCAGCTCGCGGACGTGGCTCGAGAACTGGCCATGCTTGACGTACCTGTGGTCAATACGGCCCATGTCGGAGATTCATGGAAGGACGTCGAACTTGTGGGGGAGAATTATGAACTGGACCTTTCGAACCTGGAGGACGAACCAGTGAAAGCCGAAAAGTTGGAAGAAACCGAGTTTTCTTGCTGTGGAAACGTGGAATCTATCTTATACGAACAGCCTGAAATCCCGAAGGATATTGAAGGAAGTATACCGGAAACATTTCTGCTGGAGACTTCAATCACTACTGATGAGGTGGAAGATGTCGGAAAACTGAACCGTACCTCTGAAAATATGGAAAACTGTAACCGGGATTGCTCTGAAAGTCAACCTGATGATGGTGGAAACGAAGACATGTCATTTGCTCCAGTCTCCATTGCATCGAAAGACAACGGGTCATGTCTTGCGCAATGTGAAACCAAGACGCCGTTCAAAGTGGATACAGAAGACGTTTACCCCCTACCTGAGCAAGTGCCGGGTGAGGAAGTCCAACCTTATGCATCCCGAATGGAGACTGCTGGAAGTCATATCCAGGATGATAGGGGAATGACACAACGCATGGTGCTCAGTAACTTTGAAGTGGTCAGGCACGATGTCGTGCTGACGTGCGATAAAAGTCAAGTGTTGTGTTCAGTATTCACTCTCCACTGTTGCTATCTAGAGTCAAGGCTGGTGTCGGTGCGCATCCCGGACCGGACAAAGCACACCACCGGAGGGACTGTGGGACAGATGACAACACCGCCACGAACCGGTATTGGGGGATTTGCATCCGAAGTAAAGGAAGACTTGAAGACAGTCTGCAGGATTTGGATCGTCTTTTTCTCTTTTTTTTGTCAGGGGGGAGGAGTGTTGTGAGTGTATATACTACTTATTAGGTAGTTGATTGCTGAAGGCGGAACTATCGTCATTCGTGGATTACCAAAGCCGCTATGCCCAAGAGACCGAACGCAAGAAGGTGAACAGCAACAGGCGAACCGCACAACTGCTTCTCCGTCGGATGGTGACTGTCTCCAAGTGAAGGGGAACGGTGACTTTCCAAACAAGCATGTTTGTAACGTTTGTTTTGTTTTGTCGATGTCCGAACGAGCTATTGGCAATAAACAACCTAGTCACCCAGGCACGTCTTGTAGATTATAACAGTAGTAGTAGTAGTAGTAGTATTGGTCCAAGTGGCACTCCGGGTTTGTGTAGTTTCGGTAAACCATACAGTTGTGCAATTTGAGTTCCTTTTGGCTTCAGATGGTGAGCTGTGCTTTCATCAATGAAGTGTCCTTCTAGTAGAAACTGTACTTCTGTCGATATCTGTTGTTCTAGTTCTTTAGGGTCTTCACAGTCATCTTCGAGTACAAACTTGCTGGGATCATGACGATCACCAGCTGGGAGTTGGTACGGACCCGCTGGTGCACGCCGTCGCGCTGCGCTCACTCCTGGAACGTGCGTTGCCAACGCTAGATGAGGCGTCACGGGCAGACCTGGTGGCAGACCGATGTGTGGATAGTCTGCCGGAGCCCTTGCGTGGGATGGTACGCGTCGCCCGTGCCGGCCGTTCACTGAATTTGGTCCAGCTCGCGGACGTGGCTCGAGAACTGGCCATGCTTGACGTACCTGTGGTCAATACGGCCCATGTCGGAGATTCATGGAAGGACGTCGAACTTGTGGGGGAGAATTATGAACTGGACCTTTCGAACCTGGAGGACGAACCAGTGAAAGCCGAAAAGTTGGAAGAAACCGAGTTTTCTTGCTGTGGAAACGTGGAATCTATCTTATACGAACAGCCTGAAATCCCGAAGGATATTGAAGGAAGTATACCGGAAACATTTCTGCTGGAGACTTCAATCACTACTGATGAGGTGGAAGATGTCGGAAAACTGAACCGTACCTCTGAAAATATGGAAAACTGTAACCGGGATTGCTCTGAAAGTCAACCTGATGATGGTGGAAACGAAGACATGTCATTTGCTCCAGTCTCCATTGCATCGAAAGACAACGGGTCATGTCTTGCGCAATGTGAAACCAAGACGCCGTTCAAAGTGGATACAGAAGACGTTTACCCCCTACCTGAGCAAGTGCCGGGTGAGGAAGTCCAACCTTATGCATCCCGAATGGAGACTGCTGGAAGTCATATCCAGGATGATAGGGGAATGACACAACGCATGGTGCTCAGTAACTTTGAAGTGGTCAGGCACGATGTCGTGCTGACGTGCGATAAAAGTCAAGTGTTGTGTTCAGTATTCACTCTCCACTGTTGCTATCTAGAGTCAAGGCTGGTGTCGGTGCGCATCCCGGACCGGACAAAGCACACCACCGGAGGGACTGTGGGACAGATGACAACACCGCCACGAACCGGTATTGGGGGATTTGCATCTGAAGTAAAGGAAGACTTGAAGACAGTCTGCAGGATTTGGATCGTCTTTTTCTCTTTTTTTTTGTCAGGGGGGAGGAGTGTTGTGAGTGTATATACTACTTATTAGGTAGTTGATTGCTGAAGGCGGAACTATCGTCATTCGTGGATTACCAAAGCCGCTATGCCCAAGAGACCGAACGCAAGAAGGTGAACAGCAACAGGCGAACCGCACAACTGCTTCTCCGTCGGATGGTGACTGTCTCCAAGTGAAGGGGAACGGTGACTTTCCAAACAAGCATGTTTGTAACGTTTGTTTTGTTTTGTCGATGTCCGAACGAGCTATTGGCAATAAACAACCTAGTCACCCAGGCACGTCTTGTAGATTATAACAGTAGTAGTAGTAGTAGTAGTAGTAGTAGTAGTAGTAGTAGTAGTAGTAGTAGTAGTAGTAGTAGTAGTAGTAGTAGTAGTAGTAGTATTGGTCCAAGTGGCACTCCGGGTTTGTGTAGTTTCGGTAAACCATACAGTTGTGCAATTTGAGTTCCTTTTGGCTTCAGATGGTGAGCTGTGCTTTCATCGATGAAGTGTCTTTCTAGTAGAAACTGTACTTCTGTCGATATCTGTTGTTCTAGTTCTTTAGGGTCTTCACAGTCATCTTCGAGTACAAACTTGCTGGAATCATGAAGAACACTTTCCATCTTCTTCTCATAATCATTCCGATCGATCAGCGCTGCTCCGGACCCCTTGTTAGGGCGTAAAACTAACAAATCAGGTCGCAACTGTAGCTCTTCAATGGCGGATGTGAATGTGCTCAGCGTTGCTTTGAACCAAGTCTCCGCATCGTTTCAAGTTGGTTTGACTATTTGTAGTTGTTCGAATGGATATTCGAAGTGCGCCTGTCTTCATGCTGTGTAATTTACTCGGTGGTATGCACAAACGTAGACCAAACGAAAGAGCCTGTAGTTGAAGTTCATTCGTGCAACCGATGACAAATTGATCACAAACTTTTCTCGTTGTTTCGGAAAATTTGGTTCGGCTAACGAGGCTCAGTTCGTCAAAAATTATTGATCATTCGATGCACGTGGTCTGAAGTGTCGTTAGATTTTCTTTATAATTATCAATCTGACATTGCATCAAACGTCTCAAATTCCTGGTAGAGGCAAAGATCTTATTCCTCCGTAAGCGTTTGCAAAACGTAATCGGGTATCTGTTTCAACGGACACATTTTGTTCCAGAAAATTAATACGAACTCGAATCGTGGCAATTTTACATCTCAATCTGACTAGGTCATCGAGAGACCTAATGGTTGATTTCGGGAGACGAGATCTGAGGAAATTTAGGCATGCTTTTCCCGAAATAATCTTGAAAAGAAAAGCCACAGTTGCAACATTGCACGATTCATGTCCGGGACGATTTCGCTGCATCTCAACATGGTGCACACTGCACAACCATACTGTTTATATAAGTTCATGTAAAACCATAATTTTCGATAAATATAGTGGAAATTTCAATAGTCAAGTTACGTCACCATGGTAAAGACACATGAACAAAGAACTGTTTTTGTTGGTACAATATTAGGTTTCCATCAATGTATGGCAATGGTTTGAACAAACCTCAAAAGCCCGGTATTCTTTGCCACGTATATGACCCGAAACGCAGTGCTTCGGTCAGCTGGATGTTGCGTCATCAGAAGATGACGAGCGACGGCCGACGACGGGATCTTATGGTTTCGAACGTTGTCATTGTGCCTGTGATCTGACCCTGATTGCATCACAAAACGTTGTACCCAATTTGGAATATATTCAATCACTCGGTATTTCTGTCTTGTTTTTCATGAATACGTCTAACATAAGACGTTCCCACCTTGCGTCATGGGTGATGGTTTATCAATTGTTTCCTCAGATCTTTTTTCAGCATTCGAATATCTATTCGAACAACTACAAATAGTCAAACCAACTTGAAAAGATGCGGAGACTTCGTTCAAAGCAAAGCTCAGCACATTCACATCCGCCATTGAAGAGCTACAGTTGCGACCTGATTTGTTAGTTTTACGCCCTAACAAGGGGTCCGGAGCAGCGCTGATCGATCGGAATGATTATGAGAAGAAGATGGAAAGTGTTCTTCATGATTCCAGCAAGTTTGTACTCGAAGATGACTGTGAAGACCCTAAAGAACTAGAACAACAGATATCGACAGAAGTACAGTTTCTACTAGAAGGACACTTCATCGATGAAAGCACAGCTCACCATCTGAAGCCAAAAGGAACTCAAATTGCACAACTGTATGGTTTACCGAAACTACACAAACCCGGAGTGCCACTTGGACCAATACTACTACTACTACTACTACTACTACTGCTAATTATAATAATAATACTACTATTATCTATCTATCTATCTATCTATCTATGACAAATTCACCACAACACGAATTGGCCAAATGGCTGGAGAAATTGCTCGAGCCAGTTCATAAATCAATGGTCAGACACACTATGAAAGACAGTTCAGAAGTAGTAAAGCTTTTGGACCAGATCACGCTTTGGTCGCCTTAGATTATGAAAGAATTTGGAGTTCTGAATGCAAGTAGTCGCCCTTAACTAGGTTCAGTTTTGAAGCGACCCTCGCCAAACAGTTAGCCTTGCAATTGCTCTGTCAATACTTTTGAAAGTGAGGGTTGATTGTAGCATAGGCTAGTGTTCTTCAACGGTCCGTCAGTGTAGCAAGGCAATCGAATGATATGTTTCGTCTAGTTCCACAAGAGAACGAACAAAATGGGGCAGTAAAACACATCATACTGTTCTCTTTATTTTGGCATTTTTGAAACCACAGACCATTCCAAAATCCGTCCTATACAACTGTTTCTTACCTCACTTGATTCTCTAGTGAATATGAAGCTTTCTAAGGTGTCCGTCTGTATCTGCACGAAGATGCTGAAAGCAAAGACCCCGCTGGATGGCCGACTTTAGGTAATTTATCCTTCGCTGAAAGGCCTAAAGGTTAACGTCCTAAAGCAGGTTATACAGCTTGCTACACAGAAATGCTGTGTGCATACCAAAAGAGTCGCATCCTGATTGCATAAACATTAATTAGTGACCAGTTGAGAATAGTTCACAGCTTTAAGCAAGTCATTATGGGAGTTATAACGGTTGTTGTGGGATACCAGTGGAGAGACCAGTCACATGAAGGGCACTGGAAGCCGGACTAACTTTCTTCAACTTATTACCCTTGTCTCTGCCACAAAATGTGACCATACACGGAAGGACGAATGAACTGCGCTAAGATATGTAATCTTTTACTTCAAGGTTGCTAGACCTGGGAAATGCCCTTTTTCCTCTGTCGTGAGGTATTGCGGGCACCATATCACAGCGGATACGTAATCTAACATTGCCTTCGTCATGTTACTTCGTGTTTTCATTTTTAGTCATCTTAAATGCCGTGCCGATAAAATATGCTTTATCGGGCCTAAAACTTGAAGCATTGAAAGTAAGCCTGTTTGTTAATTGACGTTCTAATATACGTTAGACTACGACTTCAAAGAAGACTGCCACCTTTTTAGTTTCTTCCCAGGGATTACCTATAAGCTTCCCTCACTACTTATAACCCTATTTTCCAGGATGTTCATCTTTCCAACGGAAGGGACAGATTCCATGAACATAACAGTTGACGGTATATTTAGTGGTTGCAGATGACCACTTTGAAATCGGGAATGGATTAGTCATATACCAGTCAGGAATTGTAACAAGTGTTATCTGATTCATCCATCAAGTACTGAACAACTCCTTTCGCCCAAATCATTTGTTTTGATTTCTGCGCTCTCATCGAATCATTCAAACTAATAAATTTTCCATTTATTTGAAGTATTGGAAAACTCTGTCTAGGATACCAGGAATCAATTCTATCACAATCTCAATGAAAATTTCCGTTGATTCATGAAAATTCATGCTGCAGAGAGAAAAGTCTTTTCACTTCATCCTTTAAGCATTTACTACGTAGTATGGAGTAACTGGATAGCAGAGTTGAATAAACATGCAATAAGTCCGGGGTCTTTACTACATACTAAAATCTAATGATCCTTTTCAACTTTGGTGTGAAATTATATGTGAATTGTGTGGCCAGTAAGAAGGAGTAGACATGTGCTAAAGTTGGGTGCGTGAAATGTCATAAGATTGATGAGTTTGACAATAGTAATTACAGAGGGAAACTCTTGTTATGACCACGGAAACAACAACAACGATTCCACAAGACCGTCCCACGAAACTGTTATTGTTATTGCCGTGGCTCTCACCTTCGAACTTCTACGGCTTCTGCCATCAAGCGTAACTGCCTACGTGGTCGTTTGCTGTGAACTGCACAAGTGGTCAGGACCGTTACCGAATCGATTGGCTGTCTACTATCAAACAAGTGTTGCAAGATTGTGTCTTTTAATAGTGTGAACTGTTCCCTTGCGAAGAAGGATAGGAAAATGTCCTTCTGTCTCTGGGAACGACAAACATACCTGTCCACGGGATTATTGTTTGAATGAGTGCAAAAGTAATTACAACTGGTTCCTGGGCCCGTGAATAGTTCGCAAATTCGCCTACTTCAATAATTACAAATATTCGTTTCTCTTTGCAACCTTATTTTTTTCCTTTGGGTAAATAAGATTCGTCATTTACACGGACTTTGACATTTATTCTTCTTCTACATAGAAATTTCATATTCCCGGAGCCGTCTCACATTTCTACATGAGTTTTCGCATCGAATGCATCACGTCACTGGCGGATGATCTCTTATTTATGGTTATCTTTGGTTCATTGTTTCGACTTTGAGCGCTTTTGTTTCCCATCTGATATAAGAGGAGTGGCCACTTTTGAAGAAATCATAATTTTGTTGATATACTAGTGCTCCGTATTAACCCACTTCCACCTGAACAGATGCGTTGGGATCTCTAGTCTCACAGTGAATTTACAATAAATCACAGGTCTTTCATATCTACTATGGGGCTGGTTTTACTCTATAAGCAAAAGTACCAATAAAACCTATGAAATCCATTCGCTGTTCGAACAGGTTCGTGATAGAAAATCTGTTAGGCTCTGCCCACCTGTCTGATCTGGGTAGCCTGTGTACTCTGTCAGCATGACGAACTAAGTCTTATTGACTGATTCGGGGAACACAACTTTGGTTGTTTCGTAAGACATGTTTCACCATTATTTTAATGACCCGGTGTTTTTGAACAAACATATTGTCACCCCGGGAGCAACAAATAAAATTATGCTGCCAATCCCGATAAACGGCTGATTTTAACCTTACAGCTGGATTTCTGAACGTAATTTGTGAAGTAACGATAGGCTGTAAAATGACTTCGACTACTCTAAACTGAGGTCAGTAGTTTCGGCTTTTGCTGAAGGTGTAAAATAACTCTACCATTGATCCCGACAGGTATAATTGTATACTCGCTGAGTTTGAGCTTTTATTTGTATTTTCTGCTTTCTCATCTTGTGTGGGCTCTTACCATTTATTT